CCTCGGGGCTCCAGCCGCCCTGGGTTCCAAGCCCAAGTGGCAGGTCCTCAAGCCTTAGCCCCACTTGCCACCGCAGCAGGGACTGTGGCAGCCTCTGCCTGCCAGGAGCACTGTGGACAGCAGGAGGGGCTGCAGATTTGAGCCCATACCAGGAATAGCGTCACCCAAGGCTGACCACACCTTGCTGCCATCCCTGGCTGGGTATGGAGGAGGCCCAGGAGTGGGTGAAGGTGGGGCCAGCCATTGCAGGCTGTGGTGGACCCCACACCCAGCACCCAGCCCAGCCCGGGCTTCCCTCCCAGCACACCCTTCCTTGCCTCTTGCCAGCACAGGCCCCAGCAAGCTGGGGCACAAAGGTCTGACTCACCGACCTGGGCTGGGGCGGGCTGTGGTGGCCCCTCATGCCTGCTGCTCTGCCCTCTGCCTCCCACACTCATATTCACTCAGAACCTCATGGGTCTGGGCCTGAGGAGACAGGAGCATGGGTAGAGGGCTGTGGGGAGCGGGCTGGGAAGCGAGCCTTGGGACTAGCCCCCAGCAGGTTCTCTACCTTCTGTCCCCTCAGTTTGCTTACTTGTCCAAAGGGCCTCTGGAGGACTTACCTGGTCAGGTGGTCGGGATGCTCAAGCTCCATGATATTGCCAAGTGCCTTAGGGGGCATGTTCAGCCAAGGGGGCTCTAACGAAATAGCACAGTCAATGGCTAAATTATCAAAAGCATCACTGAATCTGGGGGACTCATGGAGATCCTGGAGCCGACCCTCAAACACAGAGCATCACGGACAGCACGCTCGGCCTCACGGCCTCAAAGTCCAGGAAGTGTGATGGCATAAAACAACCGCGCTTTGGTTTAATTAAACCGGTTGGCTTGGAAACAATGATTTTGAACAATAAAATCATTTTGACAATAATAGTAAATAATCCCTTTAAGGAATGCCCTCCCCTGGTGGTGAGGGAGGTACAAAGCTGGCAGCGATGCTTTGGCTGGTGGCAGAGGGAATCCATGGGACCCTGTGGAAGTCAATTGGCAGAATCAGCCAACAGTCATGAAAATGTTCCTGCCCTTTGACCCTAAATGCCAACCAGATGGTTCCACTTGAGAGATAGAGCAAATGGGCCGCCTTCAGACTGTGGGAGACACTAAAGGACCAAACCACCATGGAGTGTGGCAGAGTGGTGGCCCCTAAAAAAGTACGTCCCCATCCTAACCCCCAGAACCCATGAATGTGACCTTATTTGGAAAAAGGGTCTTTGCAGCCGTACTTAAATGAAGGATCTTAGAGATGAGATTGTCCTGGATTAGCCTGCGGACCTTAAATTCAATGACCAAAACCAAACCAGTTGCCATCCAGTTGTTTCGACTCAGCGACCCCTGTGTGTCAGAGGAGAACTGCGCTCCATAGGGTTTTCAGTGGCTGATTGTTTGGAATTGGATTCTCAGGCCTTTCTTCCAAGGTGCCTCTGGGTGGACTCGAACCTCCAACCATTCAGTTAGTAGTTAAGCACTTAATTGTTTGCACCATCCAAGGACTCCTAATCCAATGACAAGCGTCCTTATAAGAGACACACAGAGAAGAAGTTCAGGTGAGGACGGAGGGAGAAATTGGAGTGACGTGGCCACGGTCAAGGAAGCCTGGAGCCATCAGAAGCCGGCGGAGACAGGGAACCTCCCCTAGAGACTCTAGAGGGACCCTGCCCACACCTTGATTTTGGACTGTTACTGGGGGATGGGAGGGGATGGAGGGAGGAGAGACCCCTCTCCCCCACAGGAGCAGTGCTCTAGGACGGCACAGCAACAGCCAGGGCTGCAGCACCCAAGGGGGAAGGTGCAGGGAAGAAACACCTCGTCTCCCTCCCCTCTTGCTCAGGCGGCCCACAGGCCAAACCTACCCAGGAGGTGGAGGGCCAGGGACCCTCGGAGATGCAGTCTGGTCAGGCTCTCAGGACAGACAGAGGAAGGGACGGGGCATAGGGTGCAAATAGACAATAGCCACCGGGCACAGGCCTCCTTAGTCTGGGAGGACTCAGGTGCGTCTGACCCAAGCCATGGTGTTTTCAATTGCCTCATATGCATGCGAAAGCTGGATACTGAATAAGGAAGATCGAAGAAGAATTAATGCCTTTGAATTGTGGTGTTGGTGAAGAATATTGAATATACCATGGCCTGCCAGAGGAATGAACAGGTCTGTCTTGGAAGAAGTACAGCCAGAATGCTCCTTAGAAGCAAAGATGGCAAGACTTCGTCTCACATACTTTGAACATGTTATCGGGAGGGACCAGTCCCTGGAGAATGACGTCATGCTGGGTAAAGTAGAGGGTCAGGGAAGAAGAGGAAGACCCTCAACGAGATGGACTGACACAGTGGCTGCAACAATGGGCTCAAGCATCACAACGATTGTGAGGGTGGTGCAGGACCGGGCAGGGTTTCGTTCTGTTGTGTGTGGGGTCGCTGTGAGTCGGGACCGACTGGAGGGCACCTAACAACAAAAACTCAGGCCTCCTGGTCCCCGCTGGGCATTTCTGCTGAGGAGAAAATCTTGATGGAACTAAAGCAGGAAGCAACATGCACAAGGATGCGGAAGCTCACCTCTGAGAGGCTGGGGCGTGCAGGATACGGAGGGACAGCTGGGGCTGGGGAGGGGCTGTGGACATTGTCCTGGAAGAGGTTTTCTGGAGTTCCACGGAGCCTCCCGGCCCTCTGGCCACCTCTCAGAAGCTCACCCCCTCCTCCCTGCCCCCCGCCCCCAGGCTGAGTCCTGCCCCCTTTCCACAGGGGTTGAGAGGACAAACCCAGTCCAGCCCCCCGGAGGAAGGGGGCCAAGGCGCAGCCCCCACCCATCTCAGCACATGAAGTAACTAACTGACAGGCTGGTTAATAGATTAGGGGCAGACTGCGCTGCTGTGGCCTCCCAGGAGGGCATCCGGGGACAACATCCCAGGAGAGGACTCGGGGCGGGGGGTGTTGCCTGGGGCTGGGTGCTAGTCAGAGCAGGGCTGGGGTCGGGGCACACAGCAGACGCGCTGAGCCAGTGGGCGGGCCCAGAAGGTGGGCATGAGGGCTCCCTGGCATCTGGCTGGAGAGGCTGGGGTGTTCCAGGGCTGGCCTGGGTGGGCACTGGGCCGTGGGCTGGGAAGGGTGGATCAAGCGGCCAGATCCCGAGGAGCTCTCACTGCCTGTTTTCCTGGCGAGGAAACTGAGTCCCAGAAGACCTGTCCTTGGTCCACAAGCCAGGTGGGCCAGAGGCATTGGACGCAGGCGGCACCCTCTCCCACTCTCGCTTCTGTAGGCTTCCCCAGGCCGGCCCTCGCCCTGGGCTGGCCTGAAAGTGGGGAAGGGAGCCCTCTTCCTTGTGAGCTGGGATAGGGCACGGAGGCACCACAATCATTTCCAGGAGGGACCCAGACACCCTCAGAGACCTGCAGGGCTGTACCTACTGCTCGCTGGATGAGAGGCCAGGCTAGTGTTCCTGGGAACTCAGCTCCCCAGCCCGGAGCCCTCCAGCTGGAATGTGGTCCACAGCAGGCCGGCTTAGGCTCTGCCGCCAGTTCCCCAGGGTTGCCCCCCACCTGGGGTCCCTGCCCCTGCTCAGCACTCTAGATTCTTGGCAAGCCATCCAACTTGCAAACCGGCTTCCTCCTTGGGGGATGGGGATAGTGCTCCCCCCCCCCCCGGCAGCTTAGCTGCAGTATGTGTGCCTCAGGCGCTTAGTGCAGCAGTGACCCCACAGCTCTGGGGTGTATTCCTCTTGCACTCCATGCCCCAAGCCTTTGCACACACAGTTCCCCACCCTGAAGGCCGCCCCGGCCCTCTTCCACCAGAGAGATGCCTGGTCCCACCTCAGGGAGAGGCTCGAGCGGCTCCTTCTCCGGGAAGCCTCCCTGGACATCCACCGAGCCCATCCCCCTCGGTCCCCTCCCCCGCATTCCCGGGTCTGGGCCCCTGAGCAGGGCTGCGCTGTGCAAACACAGACCGACGCTCGGCCTCGCTGTGCTCCCGGAGAGGGCCCGCCCTCTGGGCCTCTCGGTGAGCTGACGGGGGCCTGTCCGCGCCCCGCCCCGGCTCCCACGCCCTCCGAGACCGCCCGGCGCCCCCGCCCGGCCCCGCCCCATCTAATCCCCA